ATTCTGAGCTTCTTCTAAGACTTTTGGAGTAGGAAAATAATTATCTAAAGAAACAATGCCTTAATATTCTAAAGAATATACTCTAGAAATTATGCTGACAAAAAGTGCCTACTAGCTCAAAATCTCAGATGGTTCTTACTAACTCCATGTTTAAGATAGGTTTCTTTTACCATATAAACTTACACGCAATAAACCAATTCCAAAGTTACCACAGTACATTTGTATTCAAATATTTTTTTAACTGACAGTCTTAGAGATTACATTCACCTCTACTTTAGACATGTTGAATGTCAGTGCCCTCAACACCAATATTATTTAATGCAAATAGGAACTTAACTATCAGCTACCCAAAACCATAAACTAAGGACCCCCCATGAATTTCAAACAAGCATCTTCAGAAGTGCTAAAGGTAAACTGTTCATCGAAAGAGGATTGAACAAACAATTAGACAAATGGTTTTTTAAATACCTAAAATTAGCAAAGCATTCTAATCTCAGTTCTTGAAGTACCTTCCCTTACACCTTAAGAATTGTCTTTCCAGATAAGTAAAAGCTATCTAGTTTAATATAATATCCTTCCCAGGTGTGGTGGTGCACACCTGTAATCCCAGCACTTGGAAGGCTAAAACAGACCCTGCATGTTCAAAGCCTGCTATCCTGGCCTTTGGCTTCCTTCAGAGGAACAAATTTGTTAAGCCATACTCTAGATAACTTCCAATGATCTAGCTGGCTGAAAACAAAGTTATGCAAATGAAATTTATGATCTGAAGTTTACATTTCATTTTACACTCTAGTAGTACCAATTGATTCAACTGAATGAGTTTGCTTGTTGATATCCAAACACCATGGGCCTAACATAAACCAAATCATAATACTTCAATTGTTTTGGAGTTTGGAAAAAGCCTGATATCAGAGTTCATTACCTGTAAGGCACATGAGGTTGCACAGAGTAAGACATGAACAAAAACTTTGCTAGAGAACCCAAAACAAACATGACTTCTATAATGTTTATGTACGAACATTTTTGGCTTAAATATGAACATATTAGATAAACTTTACAATTGTTAAAGCTCATCAGAATCTGGACCTTTATATGTTTGTGTGTGTTTGTGTGTGTGTGTGTGTGTGTGTGTGTGTGTGTGTGTGTGTGTGTGCGCAGGGCCTGGGCACTGACCCTGAGCTTTTTTGCTCAAAGCTAACCATCTACCACTTGAGCCACAGCTCCACTTCCTGCTTTCCCAGTATTTAATTAACTGGAGATAGTCTCATGGCTTTTCCTGCCCCAGCTGGCTTCAAATGGAGACCCTCAGATCTCAGCCTCGTGAATAGCAAGGATTACAGGCTTGTGCCACTGGTGCCCGGATTCATACAAGTTTTTCCTTTATGAGGGGATTTAGCACTTTTAAAAAACTAAATAAGAGGAGACATGCACTCAACTGAAAGGTTATTATTTTATAGGTCAGATTCTGGGCTTAGTTCAGCAACAACTAATTTACCTTAGGGACAGAGGAACTGGATTAAACTGTCAAGTGTCATTTTATGCTAAGTTCCTATTGGGACAGAATGAACTAAGCACTGCACTATACATTGTAATATATTGCTTCCTTTAATAGTTGCAAAGCTAAGGAAAACAAACACACCATCTTAAGGTTCCTATTTTAAAAGCTGTGGTAAGGACTGACATAATATTATGATGTCTCTATTTAACAAACTGTCTGTGATTAGATTTGTGGGGACAATACCATACCCTCAGCTAAAAAGGTGTATTTTTAAAGCAGACTTATTTGTTCTAGGGTCAGTTATCTTCAGATCAAAGAAACAGCACTGGAGCAGTAAGTCTTATCTTTTATTAATCAGCTTAGTAGTATTTATACTTAAGAAATACTGACTTGGATTTGTTTTAAATTTAACTCAGGGAGATACCAGAGGAAATAAATGATTACTTATTCCAAGACAGATATAATTCAAACCTGATCTACATGAGGCATTAAAAACAACGAAAACACAGAACATTATCAAAGACTGGTTTCTGTTTTGAAGGCTGGTTTCTGTTTTGAAGGGAGAAACATTCCATAAGGGCCTTCTTGGATCCCAAGCAATGTCAAGTTATTTAATTTTGTAATAGGAGATTTCAGCTGGGCGCCAGTGGGTCATGCCTGTAATCCTAACTCAGGAGGCTGAGATGTAAGGATGGCAGTTGAAGCCAACCCTAGGTAGGAAAGTCTTGTGAGACTCTTATCTCCAATTATGCACCAAAAAAGCTGGAACTGGAGCTGTGGTTCCAGTGGTAGAGCACTAGCCTTGAGCAAAAAGCTCAGGGACAGTGCCCAGACCCTGAGTTCAAGCCCCAGAAAAACTCTTTTCAGTCTATTTCAAATCCAGCTTATGTACAGTTTTTAACTTATAGAATTTACACAAAACTTCACAGTGCACTTTTCTAAATACTGAAACTTTCATAAACTTTTAAAAATCAGCTTTGTGGCACTTTGGTAAGCATGTTTAATAGTGACTTCAGTTAAATCTAAGGTAAATAAGACTATATGGTTGTTGAGAGAACAGTGATCAGTCTTAAATCCTATTATAACCCTGTTCAGGATTTTCTTTTACAGATCACCATCAAAGCGTTTCCAAGTAGGTGACATCTAAATGCTGCTCTATCTCTCAGAATGTGGCTTACTTCCCATAAAGAATAGGTAAATAGAGCAAGTAATCACTAGGTGGGACTCAGCACTTGTTAAGAGCAGGTAAAGGATACAGGTGTATTTTGCTCATCTCTCCCTTTGCTCTTCCTATACTTGGAAGGGAAATGAGGTGGACCCTTTGCATCTTCCTTCATGTTTTCTGGGGTCTCCCCCCAAGAATTTTTTGAGTGTTCCAAGTTGGTAAGGAACATCAAACAAGGGGCATGAGGAAAGTCAGAAAGACTGCTCCTATTAACAAACCTATATACATACATATTTTCATTTAAACTCTGACTGCATCTTCAAAACATTACAACCATACATACTATAGAACTTAGCGGAGCTGCAATGCATTTTTATTCTGTTTTAATGCTTTTAAATTTCAAGGAACCAAAATAAAATTAAAAATTCAAAATACACGGTAATTTTGGTTTTAAGTAAACAAAGTTTAAGCCTTTATCAACTGAAAATTAGGAATTTATATTAGCCGGGCCCTGGTGGCTTACACCTGTAATCCTAGCTACTCAAGAGGCTGAGATCTGAGGATCGTGGTTTGAAGCCCACCTAGGCAGGAAAGTCCTTGAGATCCTTACCTCCAATTAACCACCAAAAAACCAGAAGGGGAGCTGTAGCTCAAAGTGGTAGAGCGCTAGCCTTGAGCGCAAAAGGTCAGGGATATCACCCATGCCCCAATTCAAGGCCCATGACTATAACCAACAACATCAACAAAAAAGAATTTAAATTGCTAGCTGAGCACTGGTGGCTCATACCTGCAATCTTAGCTACTTAGGAAGCTGAGATCTGAGGACTGAAGTTTAAAGCCAGCCGGACCAGGAAAAAGTCCATGAGACTTTAACCACCCAAAGGCTGGAAGTGGTGCTGCACTTCAAACTTCAAGTGGTAGACCACTAGCCTTGAAAAAAAAGAAAAAAAAAGCAGCTCAGGGATAGCTCCTAGGTACTGAATTAAGCCCCAGGACCAATACAAAGAAAAAAATTTAATTGCTCATCTTTTTAACAAGCTAATGTTTAGAAAAGGTAGAAACACTATTAGCCTAGAGACTCTATAATTTTTAAATGTTGGCTACAACTCTGCCTACAGATTCAAAATATCCTCCTAAATGTTACCCCCAATAACATTACAAAACTAACTCAGAAAGCAGCTTGATTGTCAGTAGTATCTCTTTCCACCTTTTTTACCCACATGGATGTTGAAAGATGTGGTAGGAGATAAGGATCATATCATTTCTAACTTCTTGATAACAAACTCTGAAAATACTTAAAGAAATTCCATGTTATATTGAAAATTAGGGCTCTATTAATAACCAACAAGCTAAGGTGCCTCCTACATACCAATTCACAAAGATTAAGAGAACTCTAAGGGGGTTCAACAGTTCAGTTAGAACATGAACCTGCTCACTATCATATGCCCGAAACTGCTACACTAAATTTTTCAAAATTAGAGCTGTGCTGGATTAAAAGAAAACCTACCAAAATAATTTAGACAGAGAAGAGAGAGATCAATCAATTTAGGTCTTTAGGATCATTTTACAGCCTAAAATTTCAGAAAGCAATTGAAAAGGGGAATAGTTATTGTTTAGCATATTGCAGTGTCCATTTGAATATTAATCAGCCTAGACCTCAGTCTAAAATTCAGCTACTAGTAACATCATTTCTTCAGTAGTTGTCACTTACAGAAAGAATTCCAATTTTTACAGAAGGAGAAAAACAGAAGCAAATCAAACTGAGAAAAGATTTGGGCCAATTCTTGTACCCTTGAGTTACTAATGATTGGAAACAGAACTAAACCTAATAAAGGCACTATTGTAAACAGCAATTGAACTTTGTGTGCACACTCACTTCCATACAGATTTCCACCTGGAATTGAAAATTATGCTATGGCCTTTTAGAAAAAGTAAACTAAGAAATATTGACATTAAGGGAACTGAATTACGATCCCTACACATGTACACACACTGATATAATAAACTACTTGTCAGTACTTTGCAATCTCTAAAATTGTAGAAATACTAGTCTTTGAAAAATCCCACCATAAAGTTTAAATGGTCAAAACACTTACTTAAACCAATGGTTCTTAAACCAAAATGTGTACCAGAATAATCTGACACTGGTTAAAACAAAACACAATTATGCTGCCACTCTTGTGGTTTGATTGGTCTGAAGTAGAACCAGCAGTATGCATTTCTAACAAGCTGTTGAGTGATGCTGAAGCTGCAGGTCCTGGGACCACTCTCTTAGAACCACTGGTTTAAACTGTTAAAGGTACACCAGCAAAACCCTAACCAAAATTTTGGCCAAGATGCATGTAAACTAATAAAGATAGAATAATGCTTGGAAAGAATGCTCATAGAATCATTCTTATTACATCAGAACGTCAACATCTGCTTCATGGTCTTCCTCTGTCACTTTCAAGGACAGCACTTCTTCATTAAGGAAAAGCCCACTGAGCCTCTCCTTCCGGGCCTGCCTCTGCTCCTTCAGTTGCCTTTTGCGGAAGGCCTTCTGCTGTAACTTCCGCTGCTTGGATCTCTTCTGTCAAAGTGAAAAGTTTTAGATTAGTAAGGTTTAGTTCTTGGACCCAATGTGTTTTGTAGATCAGATTCTCTATTTTCTGAATGGTAGGACTTATGAAAATTTCCCTGAAGTACTATTCTTATAACAATTGAAGTGAGATATGGCTTGGAACTGGAAATGATATTTTAAGATTCTACTTTCATGCTGTTTGACTAGGCAGGGTTGATTCTTGATCATTTGCCCTCATATAGGTAACGAGACACTTTGAAGACTTAGTTACAGTACACATTGGTATCAATTCATGGCAAATTCAAAATTAATACGGCAGGGGGGCGCAATACTGAATATAAAATGAAGGGAACATTGACCCAATCTCTTCACCTTATACTTCTCACTTTTTTTAAAAAGGGCTAGCCATTTTACCATTACTGGGAAAGGATGATGCCTTTCTCATAACAGCAAATACCATCTTAAAAGGCCATTAGAGGAAGCAGTGTGGCTCAAGTGGTAGAATGCTAGCCTTCAGCTGAAGAGCTGAAGGATGGCTCCCAGGCCCAGAGTTCAAGCCCCACGACTGACCAAAAAAAAAAAAAGGCCAAAAATAAAAGGCCATTAGAATCCTAGTGGATACTCCAGTCTTTGTTACTGAATAGATGGAAAAATGGAATGATTACATTTCCACAAAGATAGCTTGGTAACTCACAAAGCCTGCTGTTCCTGGTACTTTGATTTAAGAGCCAGGGAAGAGTTTATTGTGTATCTTCAAGTGACCATTAGTTTCCCAAAGAGGGTTCCCTTTCATCTTTAAATTGGTTCCAGATTCTATGCAACTGCAAAGGACCTAACTCCTCTGCTTACCCATGTACATATACACTAACACCTTTTTGGGGGTTTTTTAAGTATAAAAGGATATCACGGAGGATTTTTTTTCCAATTTTGAAAGTCAAACAAATTACAGAAATCGTTATTACATTTAAAAATTACCTAAGAAGAAAACGGTCAAGATTAAAACATAAAGAAGACATTTAACAAGTACACAAAAGACATACACAACATTCTTAGGAGCAAATAGACAGCAACATCAGCAACATAGTGAGATTCGCTCAATTATGAGTTGCAGTCAATAAAGCAATTTTGAAGATTACTCATTATTTCCATCAATATCTTACTTAAAACAGACATAAAATCAGGAAAAATTGAAATTGATAGATGTGGGTCAAAAAAAGTACTTGAAAGCACTCAAGCTAGAATGCTTTGTTCAACAGTAGAGCATCCTGCTCATTCAATTAAAACCAAGACCCACAGGCATCTAGATAGCAGGGAAAATTTCACTCTTGAAGAGATTTAAATCAAAGAGTACTAATATTAGTATTGAAAGATAGAGTTTTGTATTGATTAGGCATTTTACTTTTGAATCCCGAATCCGCTCTGCTGCACTTGCAGACAGGTTGCTGTCACTGTGTGCTCGACTCATGTTGGCACTGGAGTTTGAAGCAGAGTTTCCAACACTGGACCCACTGCTGCTTGCAGAACTGACCATGCTGGCACTGCTGCTGCTGGCACTGGCACTGGCACCGCTTACTCCACTGGTGCTTGCACAACTAAAGTTGCTTCTCTTCCAGGCCTCTCTTGCAGGCCGTTGACGAGGACTATGCTCCTTGATATAGTTTCTGACCTTCAGATACAAATAAATCTGGTTAGTGCTGTACCATGATGTTTTATCCTCAAGATGCTGGAGGGAAAAAAAATCATATTGTCCTTAATCCAAAAGATTGTCTAAATTCCGCAGATATAGAAGTTAAAATATAAGGACATAGGGGCTGGGAAGATGGCTCAGTGGTAGAGAGCTTGCCTTGCTTGCCTGAGGCCCTGGGTTTGATTCCTCAGCACCACAAAGAAAAAAAAAAAAAAAAAAAGCCGGAAGTGGCGCTAAGGCTCAAGTGGTAGAGTGCTAGCCTTGAGCTGAAGAGCTGAGGGACAGTGCCCAGGCCCAGAGTTCAGGCCCCACGACCGGACCCCCCCCCCAAAAAAAAATATAAGGACACAAGAAATCTCTGAATTTGAGTCAGGCACCAATGACCTATACCTGTCATTCTAGCTATTCAGGAAGTTGAGATCTGAGGATCAAGGTTTGAAGCCAGCCAGGGTAGAAATGTCCAGGAAAGTTTTATTGCTAATTAATCACCAAAAAGCCAGAAGTGCAACTGTGGCTCTAGTGGCAGAGCACTGGCCTTGAGAGATAAAGCTCAGGAACAGCATCCACGTCCCAAGTTCCAGCCTCAAGACTAGAAACAAAAAAATAAAATAAAATAAAGGAAGATGCACCTATTTATTGCGCCTTGGTGATCCTGTCCTAAGAATATTCTGTTTTGGTCTCATTCTGTGTGAGTGCCTAGAAACCAGTATAATTTATCATGTCCCATTGTATATTTTTTTTACCATCTAGTGTGTTTACTTGAAGATTTATAGGCACATTCTAGTTACTACAAATGAGGGAATAATATTTACTGAAATGCACTCCAAGAAATGAAAACAAGGTTTTTTACTATTCTTTGTTGCTATTTTTGTTTTATTTTGCTCTTATTTAGGTGTCTTTGAGCAGGTAAGGGGGAACACAGAAATGAAGGGACTGAGGGAGAACAAATGAGCAGTGGTGCTCACTGCACACTATGTTAAAAATGAACTATACAACTTGTGGATGGGGATGGGAGGGAAAAACTGGAAGAAAGCAAAGGAAGGGGTGACATTGTCCTGACCCATATAACTGCAATCCCTTCTGTAGATCACCTTTACAAAAACGATTTTAAAATGCCAAAAGAGGAAGAAATTGTGGAATTCAGAAAGTTATCTCAAAAAGGAAGAAATCCCGGAATTCAGAAACAGTTATCTCAAAACTGATAATGTTCACAACTCTAGAAAACACAATAGGAATGTGGATATTAAAATCATTACAAATTGTAATCAGTGGTGGATGGAAGGCTATTAGCTTTCAGAATTTAGGACTTACAGAAACTGAAACTAACAATTCAATCGATGAAAAGAAGCATTTGGTAAAGATCTTTACTAATGATGACTTAATTAATGATGGTATCTATGATTATGGTGTTATTTTGCTAAATTTCAGCAGAGGCTAATGTTATTAGTCTGAAATGCTAGGCCTCAATTTATCATACTAATTAAAATGGCTGGAGTGTGAGTGTGGAAAAGTCTGTATCTGTTGGGAGAAATACTATAAATTTCCATAATTTTAAGTGCAAAACAAACCTAAAGTAGAAAATGGCTGGGGGTGTGCCTCAGCAGTAGAAAGCTTGCCTAGCAAGCATGAGACCATGAGCTCAAACCTAGTACAATCAAAAAGTATTTTTGAAAGTAGAAGCCAAATATCAAGGAAAAACACAACAAAACTATATTTGAAAGGTAACAGAAATGCTCACTTCAGAATAGCTAAGAGAAAATTCATTAGGCTTCACTCTAGTCAAAATTTAATTACTCTGTAACTATTCAAATCTCCCAGCTCAAATGTTTACCAAAGTATAATTCTTGTGCACAGCTGTTAATTAGTGCTTTGGTTTTTTTCAATATATCTCTAGTATGCTTAACAATCCCTTAAATGATGCATTAAGCTGGAAAGTCTATACAACTGAGGAGCAAGTTCTAGATTCACATTAACCAGAAACGTACTTTCAGGTGAGATGGCCATAAGTTTTAAAGCCATGAGGTTCTCAAATGTTACAACCTATTTACTTTTTCTTCACAGGACTAGTAATCAAGCCCAGGGAACTGTATATGCTAGGCTGTATCACTAAACTACATTCCCAGCCCTCTCATTAGCTTTGCTAATTGACATTTCACAACAGTGATTTTGACCTTAACTTCTAGGTACATATGATTATCCAAGTCTACATTTTGTAAGGTGGTGGTATCTTTAATAGCTATATAACATGCATTTACGATACATACCTGCTTCAGTTTTTCATCTGTGAGACAGTTAAGTTCAATAATAAACTCACTGTCTGTAGGTGAGATTTGAGCAGAAGGATCAATGATTTTAATAATATCAAGTTGCTCACGGAGGCCCATCTCAGTACTGACTTTCCGACTCAAATACTCAATGTATTCCACCTATATGATTAAAAATTGCAAAAAACATCAAGCTTAAATCTGTGATCCTTTAATATTTCAGTGCAATGTTTTTTATATATCAGAAGCTGATATGTAAATATTTGTATTATCTACACTGGGTTTCTAAGAACTAGTTAATGCTAAAATTTAGATTTTCTGAAGAATTCAATCAGTAGCTGTAAAGTAGGTAATAAAATCAACTTCACATGTTCTCCACATATATGTGAATATCAACATAAGAATATCAACATGTTTGCATTATAGTCATAAATTGGCATGTCGTATAAAAACCCTTTATACAAGTAAAAATATTTTTTTAAATAAAAGAGTATCAATATGTTACCTGCTCATCATTTGTCATTGCACTCCAAGGAAGTTCATCTAAATTCCTGTGCTTGTTTTTCTTCTTAGGAAGCAGGCAAGGTGAACTTGGAATACTAGGTATGACGTCAGAAAGTACATCACTCCCACTGGTGATGTCACTGCCTGGCAACTTTATATAAATAAAAAGAATTTTACATATAAATTTAAAGTTACTTTAACCAGTCATGGTGGCTATGACCTATATCACAGCAATGGGAGGTCGGGGCAAGAACATACTCAGTTCAAGACTAGCTTGGGTTACATAGTGAGTTCCAGATCAGCTTGAACTATACAAGACCTGGTATCAAAAAATAAACACATTACTTTAATATAAGACTAATAGAAAACACTGAATTAGAGGACATTAATCTGATCCACACATACTTTACACAAAGCAGCAATATCAACATCATTCATTCTACGTTTTCCAAAAGTTTAAAATTGTTAAAATTGTATTGAAAACTTGATAAAATGTTGACTTAATAGTCATCATTAAGGTTTTTAAATTATATGTGCCCATATTACAGAAAGCTCCCATAGCATAATGAGGAAGTAGTACCATTCTTTACCTCAGGAACTCTAAGTAAGCTGTCACTAACTGGCTTTTTTCCAGCATTGTGCTAGACATATTGTCAATGTAAAGACAGATAATACATGGTTCTTGTCCTCAAGTCTGTATTAACAATGTCAAAGCAATTAATTTAAAATATGCTGTTGGTATAAAGCAAAACACTTTAAAGACTACAATTATTAGCCAGGTGCCAGTGGCTCACGCCTGTAATCCTAGCTACGCAGGGGGATGAGATCTGAGGATCCCGGTTCAAAGCCAGCCGGGACAGGAAAACTCCATGAGACTCTTATTTCCAATAAACCACCAGAAAACCAGAAGCGGCGCTGTGGCTCAAGTGGTAGAGGGATAGCACCCAGGCCCGGAGTTCAAGCCCCACGACTGACAAAAAAAAAAAAGACTACACGTAGTATAAAATAAAATTAGAAAATAGACTAAAGTAGAAATAAAAACAAGCCTAAACACAGAATATCAGCTTAAAGACAAACAGAAAAATATTTATTGCATACTGAAAGTGTGCATACTTGATAAATGAAAACCTGTAAATATTTAGTATACATTTGAATGAATTTGGACATATATACATACCTGAAAAACAATAAGTGTTAAGTGTATAATCAGGTTCAAAAGCCAGAATAAATTTAACTTATATAAATATATTTAAGATATCCAGCTAAAAGACAAAACCTCTTCGAAAAGAGCATCTTACTATTTTCAAACATAATGCATTCATGGTTACAAGACAAAAAAAACAACACCTTTTTATTGCTTTTTTGGTTCTATAGGGTTTAAAACTATAATCTGAACTTTGGCACCAGCTATTTCTATTTCAAGGGTCTGTGCTTTGGGCCCTTTAAAAGGTAGAATAAAAACTCAAGAAAGTTGCATTTTGCTAAAGTGGCTAAGTAAAGCTTTACAAGGTAGCATTTCAGAATGGCAGAGGTAAAAGGAGTTTGGCTATGTCTCTAATCCTACCTACTCAGGAGGCTGAGATCTCAGGATGGAAGTTTGAAGCTAGCCCGGGCAGGAAAGTCCTTGAGACTCTCATCTGCAATTAACCAGCAAAAGCTGGAAATAGAGGTATGTCTCAAGTGGTAGAGCATCAACTTTGAGTATAAAAAGCTCATGGACGGTACCTAGGCCCTGAGTCCAAGCCCTTGTGCCAGCACACAAGAAAGAGAGGAAAGAAGGAAAAGGCAATCAAGTAAGAATAATTTAATGAAATCATTTTAAAAAATAGAGCAAGATGAAAAAAATATAAGACAAAAATAGTGCTAGGGATTGATACCTCAACAGAAGAACCAGAAGCTGCCTCATGACTTGTAGAAGAGTAGGGCTTTGGTCTCTAACAGTTTCTAAGTACCAAACTGTGTAAGGAAACAACTGGTTAAAAAGCACTATAAGGGCTGGACAATGGTGGCTGACACCTGAATTCTTAGCTACTCAGGAGGCTGAGATCTGAGGATCTTGGTTCAAAGCCAGCCCAGGCAGGAAAGTCCATAAGACTCTTATCTCCAATGAACCACCAGAAAACCAGAAGTGGTGCTGTGGCTCAAGTGGTAGAGCACTAGCCTGGAGCTGAAGAGCTCAGGGACAGCACCTAGGCACCATAAGGACAAAGCAAAGTGAGGAAAACTTGGAATTGGATAGAAAGAGGTTGGTCTGGGCCTGGACAAAAATAAGCAAAAATAGAAAAAACATGGGAACAGGTCTGAAATTTTTCTTCATGAAAAGCAATGTACAAAGCTGAATAGTTAAGGACTCAGATGTCAAGATCATAAGAAAACGGGTAATATTTCCTCATCAGACAACCTATCTAGGGTGACATACTCAAAGACTTCCATTGTTACAGGAAGAAAACTGAAGCAATATTGTAGTTCTTCTAGTCCAACAACTTCAACTGATACGGAAAATGATGTCCAGGGAGGCTTACACATCTAATGACAGAATCTAAAGGAGGATACATATGAAATGCTTACAACTATTCCCTGTATTCTTGCCCTAGATGGAGTTTGGAAAGAAAAATTTGTATATGAGGGGGAAAGAAAATGATAAAATTAGATGCTTTCAAAAATGTATACACTAGGGTCTGGGAAGGTGGCTCAGTGGTAGAGTGCTTGCCTTGCATGCATGAGGCCCTGGGTTCGATTCCTCAGCACCACAAAAGCAGAAAAAGCCAGAAGTGGAGCTGTGGCTCAAGGGGTACACAGTGCTAGCCTTGAGCTGAAGAGCTGAGTGACAGCACCCAGGCCCGGAGATCAGGCCCCACAACCAACAAAAAAAATGTATACACTAATAAATATTAGCTAAATTTGCCAAGCAATAGATTATTACTGATCAGGGCATTTTACTTCAATTATTTCATATTACTCTCTCACAATAATTCAAGGTACTCTTATAAATCTCTCTTTTCACAAGTAAGGAAATTTTAGCAGAAAGGCTAGGCAAGTTGTCCAAAGTCAAAAGCTACTAAGCATTGCAGATGAGGTTCAAGAGGTTCTGCTCTAAACCACCATGCATACTTCCCTTCTATATCACAGCAGGCCCCATCTCTTCCAAAAAGCATCTCTGAAGAATACTGGTTTCTCTTTTTTATATTTTATTTTTATCGAAAATGTGATTGAGCAGGGGGGGTTACAGTTGCATAAGGTAATGAGTACATTTGTTTTTAATCATTGTTACCCCATCCCTCATTGCCTCCCACTTACCCCTCTCTATTCTCCTCCCCCCCAAAGTTGTAATGTTCATATCCAGCATAGTGTCAAGTGAGTATCTATATTGCTTTAGTTCATCCTTTGTCCTGCTGTTTCTGTGATTCCCTTTCCCTTCCACATATTGAACAATCTTATATACAAGAGGAACAGTGGGGGAAAAAACAAACTACATACAAGGCCTAATAAGAACCTCTTGTTTTCATATATTGGAGTTCATGTTGATCGCTTCATTATATATGATCCTATGCACTAAGCAGTTGGGTTATTGAGATCTCTTGTTAAGAATATTGTAGACATATTCTAGTTCTTACAAATGAGGGAAATCATGCAACCTGCTTTTCTTTGGGTGGCTTCTATTACTTCTCTGCCATAATGGATAGTTCTTGCAATTAGTTACAAAATTCTTTTTTTCTGCATTCCTATTGACTCTCTAGATTCTTTCCATTAAAAAGATGTGTCCAGGGCTGGGAATGTGGCTTAGTGGTAGATTGCTTGCCTAGCATGCATGAAATCCTGGGTTTGATTCCTCAGTACCACATAAGTAGAAAAATCCAGAGGTAGTGCTGTGGCTCAAGTGGGAGAGTGCTAACCTTTAGCAAAAGAGGCTAGGGACAGTGCCCAGGCCTTGAGTTCAACCCCCAGGACGCCCCCCCCAAAAAAACCAGATGTGTCCAGAGGGATGGAAGGTGGGAGGAAGGGAAGGAAGAATTCAAGATGTGGAGACTATAGTGATAAAGGAAGCAAGCATAAATAGTCTTTGAATATACAATAGACATTTTTCCTACACTATAAATTGTCACACAGCTAAATCTGTATTTTTCCTGTAGAAACACTGTAATTGGAAGCGGCGATAGATAATAGGTTACTATTAAATAATAAGGTCACCTAAGTGCTGATGTCAAATAGTCAATTGCAGGATGAGAGTAGCAGCTGTATAGGAGAATTAACTGCATGGTCTCCTGTATATTTTCTAGACCAGCAATTTTCTACTTCATAACTGATAGTATATTTCAGAATAAAAATGTTTAATGAGTCCCATCCTGTATTTTTCATGGGCAATATATGGTATATTTATATTATAATCAGTAATTGTGACACATAGAGAGAATTAAATCAAATTTCTGCCATATTTTCTGCAGGATACAGCAGAATTTTATGAGTAACAGCTGATGTGTAATTTCAGATTGCGCCTACAGGCTTCAAATAAGACAGCAAATTATTCACTTTAGATTTTATAAGTTTTCTTGCTGAACAAATCGAAATAATTTCTCAGGCTAAAGACTAGTCAAATATATCTATAATGAAGGGACTAGTAGAAAAGAAAACTGTCAGTAAAACTGAAGCTTTGATGTTACTCCAAATGTTAAGATACAACTTCATTCTAAGGTTAAAATACTGCCTTATCAAGTAGTTAAGAATTTCTCTTCCCAGAGAATCTGTAAGTTATTAATATTTACTTTAGTAGCATTAGAAACATCTGTTAAAAAAGATTTAAACAGATGGTAGTTTTTAGCCACAACAAAGTTAATATGAACTTTAAAACTATAGTGAGTTTTACTCTGTATTAATTCTAACATGTAATTTGTAATTATCCTCTTGGATAATTCACTGCTCATTATTTTGAGCTCCGACAAAGACGAGACAGCATTTTCAACCACCCTGCATATTTAAATGGTAAATATCCATGGAAACTGAGTACCCAGACTCCCATTTCAGGAGTGGGAAAACACATTAATAAGGCAGGCCTGCTATCTGTTCCAACACTGTAATCACTCATGCACATTAACAGTGAGCGGCTGGGTATGTTTTTCTACTCTAACCACTCATGAAATTAGTGAAGAAATCAGCTATTAAAAATTTCAAATGTGTGCCACCTTGTAACATTAGGAGTGATAATAACTCCAAATAAATCACATGATTAAAAATTACTGCCAATTTTTTTTCTGTCAGTTGTGGGGCTTGAACTTGGGGCCTGGGCACTGTCCCTCAGCTCTTCAGCTCAAGGCAAGCATTCTACCACTTGAACCACAGCACCACTTCCAGTTTTCTGGTGGTTAACTGAACATAAGAGCCAGCACAGGCTGGCTTTGAACTGCAATCCTCAGATCTCAGGCTCCTGAGTAGCTAGGAATTCAGGCTCGTAAGCCACCGGCACCCTGCACTGCCATTTTTTTTTAAGTCATTGGGATTGGAGGGAATAAAAGGGAACAGTCTATTCACTGATGACATTAACTCAAACATAGAAAATTCTAAAGAACCTGGCCGGGGGGGGGGGCAATTAAGATTAACAAATAAATTCAGTAAAATTATAGGTACTGGTGCCAGTATCTCAAACCTGTAATCTCAGCTACTCAGGAAGCTGAGATCTGAGGATCACAGTTCAAAGCCTGCAGGAGCAAGAAAGTCTATGAGACTCTACAACCACCAGAAAACCAGAAGTGGCACTGTGGCTCAAAGTGGTAGACTATTAGCCTCTTGAGCAAGAGCTCAAAGACAGTACTCAGGCCCTGAGTTCAAGCCACACAGCTGACAAAAATGTATAGAGCTAAACAGTGGATGAAGGAGGAGCCTATCTGCACATGTAAATACACTTGTAACTTAACTCTTAACAGTGGTACACACAATTGAGTAGAACTTTCTTCAATGACACATGCCAGGTTCAAACTTATCCTCCTGCCTCAGCCTCCCAAGTGCTGAGTATACAGATAAAAGTATTTTAATAAAAAAATGTTTGACTAATCTTTTGGAATACAACTAAGTATTCAAATGGCCTTCAAACATAGCAAGCATTCAAGTTTATCGGTTGAATAAAACATTTAGTGTATGCAAAGTAAATTACTTTAAATGTTAATGCATTTTACAATCAGAAAATGGATGCTGCAATAAAATAATCAGCATTTTCTGGTAAGAGTACACTCATTATAAGGCAGCATTTCCAAACAATTTGCCAGGAGGCCATGTTATGTGTTATGTGTACCACAAAAAGAAAAAACTGTCAGGCAAAAAAGAATGTAGAAATTATAAAATGACAGTTATTTTACATTTCTGATAACAGAACCAAATTTATGCATTTATGACCATAACAATTTATGGTATTAGATACAATAGCATAACCCTCATATGAGGCTATTTGTTATAAAGCAGGGAAAAAATTGTGTGGATTCATGCATAAAAAAGTACTGATTACTTTGTGAAAACAAAGGAGGAGATAACAATGCTTGCTATGAAATGTACTCACTACCCTACTCATGTAACTGTAACCCCTCTGTACAACATTTTCAATAAATATATAAAAAAATTAAAATAAAAAAGTACTGATTACTTTGTAGATGAAAACCTGTAAAAGGTTGCCTATAACATCAGAAGGCTAAAAGGTAAAGAATATAAATCCTATCCAATTTAAATATTTTTGAGGTAGAGATGAAAGTATTAAAAGTGAAATTTGTATTTCTATATATGTAGTAATGATGTCAATAAAAATTTTAAAACCCACCTGCCATTCAAACTCACTATCAGACCAATCCCAGTAGGTGCTAATAGAAGAAGAGACATCACTGCAGACACTCCCTTCAGGAAATAAATCAAAAGAGGTAAAGTCTTGATCATCTAACAGGGAGTAGCAATCATCTTGATCTCCGACAGAAACAGATGAAAACAGCTCCTCACTGCATTCTGAGCTGGCAACGCTTGTTCCACAAGAAGTTAGGTTCCACCTTCAAAAACAAAATACAAAAGAAATCACAACAGGAACTAGAGAGCTATACACCTGTTAATATCAACAGGACATATTTATGATAGGATAAATGTGTTTTTAGGTATAATGGTAGTATGGGGCTTGGGGAGGAGGGTGGTTTTCTGTTTGCCAGTCCTAGGGCTTGAAATCTGGGCTTGGGCACTGTCCCTGAGCTTCTTTTGCTCAAAGATAACACTCTACTACTTGTGACACAGTGCCACTTCTGGCATTTTTAAGTAGTTTATTAAAGATAAGAGTCTCACAGATTTTCCTGCCTAGGCTGGCTTCAAACTGTGATCCTCACATCTCTCTCTGCCTCCTGAGTAACTAGGATTACAGAGATACGCTACCCAGCAGTGTGGGGTTTTGTTAAAGCTTTTACTTTGGGGCCTGGGCACAGCTGAAGAGGTAGAGTGCCTGACAAACATGAGGCCTTAAGTTTAAGCCCCAGTACCACCAAAAAAGAAAACCTGTAACAAATATACTAAGATATTTATGGATAAAATAAGCCTCTGTGATTCACCTTGAAGTAATAAGGAAGAGTCTGGAGAATGGTTAGGGTATAAGTATAATACTGTATGTAAATTATTGTTAAAGGCCTCATTATACTATTTCCTTAGGTGTCTGAAATTTGAATAATATTGAAAAGGGATATACAAACTAAGAATAAAGTAGACCTTTCATCCATAAATAAAATGTATAGCACAGTAGTTATGAGTAAGCTCTAGAGTCACACCAAGTTAAAATTCTTGTTCTGTCATTTGCTAGCTATTTGATCTTAAGCAAATCACAAGCTCTCCAAGCCTATGTTCCCATATTTAAAAGGGAGTTACTGTGAGGATTATGAGAATGCAAACAGAGAACTTAGCACACATAAAAATGCTCAATACATGGGACCAATTACTATTATTAAATGAAAGGATGAGAGGAACCATTCAAAGCAAAGAAAAGCACCAACAAAATACATAAATAGAAATCTAACAAAGTGGCTCTTGTATACACACTAATGTCTTACAAGGTCACAGCTGTGATATTACATGAAGAAAAGAGTGCACTAATAATGGGCACTGGTGGCTCACACCTATAATCCTAGTAACTCAAGATCCTGAGATCTGAGGATCATCATTTGGACTCAGTCTGGGCAGGAAAATCCATGAGATTCTTCTAACTCCAATTAACCACAACAAAGCAGGAAGTGGAGGTGTGTCTCAAGTGGCTGAGTGCCAAACATTAACAGAAAAAAGCCCCAGTACGGACACACGTGCACATGAGTACACATGCACATACACACAGGTTAACTATTTGAGAGGTACATATGGGATGATTGAGAAAATGGGAACATTTCAGTTGGAGGGTAACCTAGGCAAAAAGTGAGACCCTATCTCAAAAAAACCCCACAAAACTAGGTGTGGTGTTTCAAATTAGTGAACAGTTTAACATCAGGTATTACAGAGACAGAGTGAGACAATCACAGTCCTTGGCTGACCTATACCAGAAAAAATAGAGACCCAATCTGAAAAACAAAGACAAAAAATGGGGTTGGGGAATAACTCTAGAGGTAATGCCTGCCTAGCAAGCATGCAGTACCCCAATGTTGAAATTTTAAAAAGGACTGAAGATTAAAATGACCAATAATTTTATTATAGCTAACATATAATAGCTTGGTGCTTTTAGTATTCTGCTTTTTTCTCTTATATGCTGAATATTTTCATTGCTAAGTTGCATATCCTTTATATGACTTGGACTAAATATGTTTCACATTTTGGACTCTTTTTGATTTTGAAGTATCTGTGTATACATAATGAGGTATACTGTTGATGAAAACTAAGTCTAAATACAATATTTATTATGTTTCACATGTACCTTATACACATAGCCTAAAGATAATTTTATACATTTTATACACTATTTTTAATGCACCTATTATTCTGACTCCAAATTAATATATGAAAACATGGTAGAATTCAAATGGCTTAGAATTTGGATTTTTGTCCTATGGATCGCTCAACCTACATATTACTTGGAAACATTTCAGTATCTGTATTATATTTCATTTATTGAATATATCATTTTGTTTACTTTATTCCCCTAATGATAGATACTACTTAAAGATAATTAACCAATCAAAGAATATATATATATATTTCTTTATTTTATTATATATATATATATTTCTAAGGGTCCTAGCACATTTACACAAGCAACTTTCTGAAAAACTGCACCAATTTCATGTTCACCAGTCAACATACCAAAAAAAATTCATCTCATCACAACCTCCAAGTCACTAATATTCTTTTTTCTTGGGGGGGGGTCAGTTGTGAGGCTTGAACCCAGGGCCTGGGCACTGGCCCTGAGCTCTTTTTGCTTAAGACAAGCACTCTACCACTCTGAGCCACAGTCCCACTTCTTGTTTTCTAGTGGTTAATTGGAGATGAGTCTCACAGACTTTCCTTCCTGTGCTTAGAACTTCAATTCTCACATCTCAGCCTCTTGAGTAGCTACGATTACAGGTGTGAGCCACCAATGCCTGGCATAAAATTCTTATTTTTGTAAACTTATTCCTAGGGCAGAAACATGCATATAACTTATTTTATATAATTTTTTATTAATGCAAAGATCAAAATTTTAAATATTTATTAACCAGGCAAGGCATGGCAGTAAATACCTAAAGTCCCAGTATTCTGGATGCAGAGGCAGGCGGATCTCATAATCTGAGACCCAGTCTGGGCAAGATTCTGTCTCAAAATAAATAAAATATGTACTATTTTTGCTATGGTGTTTATCTATGTATTAATATTTCATTAATGACTGTTAAGTTCCTCATTCTATATTTTGTTTGTAGAACTTAGGACAGATTTTTAGAACCTTTTTGTCTTGAAATATATCCATCTGTTTTCTTTTGTATGTTTTCACTAATGAGATGCTATTAATGAGATAATCTTCATCAGTTTGCCAGTAGCATAAGGATTTAATCTTAGAGATAATGGAGTTAGTGTTTCCAATACCAATAAGCTGCTGAAATAATGACTTCCAGAAAATAAGCTGCTGAAATAATGACTTCCAGAAAATAAGCCTGTGATTTACCTATTATTAGATTTTTCCTCATCTTTTGTTAAATGGTATTTTCTTGAATTGTGTACATTTTAAAACTTCCTTCTTTACTAGAAAAATACTATGTTATTTCTTCAAGTCTTTACATGCCACCAATTGTCTTAGTGGGCTTTTACCAAAAAATTTAAGTGTAACTCTTTTAAACTGATGTGACATTTTTAAGCCAATGTCAGCTCAGCATTAAATCATTCAAGTTTACAAGCCCTTACATCCCATTACACTACGAGAAAACTACCTAACATTAGAATTCTAGCTACAAGTATAACATTCTCTAAGCACAACTTTCTCCAAAACTTGAAAAGAAAAATGCTGATATGAACCCTAATGATATGGTATTTAACTTAATAACTCGATTTACTCATTCCACTCTCTGTATTCCCAACTTTTTCCTTTCTTGTGGCTTGCTTCCAAGGAGCTAAAATCTTTATTCTAAGAAAAAAGCAAACAAAGAAAAATATTATCACTACATTCCCTGCTAAATTTACTAAATAATCTTAGTCTCTCAACTATTATAACCTATGGTTTCATGCCTATCACACTAGTAGAATTTCTGTTGATTACTCCCAAATTTGTATTATTAATGTGGATGTTTTGCCAAAGCTGCGCCCACCTACACTACTTGTTTCAAAGTCCCTAAACCAAATTTCTTCCATGTAGCTCTCCCACCAACAACCTATAGCTGCTCTCTATCTCTAATTCTATACCTAGATAGGAAAAATAGGGCTGGGACAAGAGGCACACCAAAAAGGCTGGGGCCAGATGTAGCTTATTGGTTAAGGCAAATGCTTGGCATACCTGAGTTGATCCCAGCACCACAAAACAGACACACAATAGTTTGAGGATTTTTCTAGTTAATAGTGACTGAAATGGGCTTTAAAATCTTACACAAATGACTTATTCTGAGTGTTCAAGTATTCCTAAAGTGTACAAATGGCACACATTTTTTTCAAAATAGTGTAAAGTCAAAGTATTGATGTACTTCTGAAAGATGAAGAGAATACCTCATCTGGTAATTTGTATCAACCTCTTTCATCTCACAATTTAATGATAGGACCTATCAATATCAGAAACTCTAAAACAGAAAAACTCTGTCCCCCAAACCAAATAAAATGTCTTAAACACATGCTTATTTAACAATGACATTTATTTAAGGTTTAAGTCTATTAAATTTGTACTCTATTTTTCCAAAATCCTAGACAAACCCAATTAGATAATAAACTCCTTTTTTTGGAGGAAATAGCATCTTACTTTTTTCCAGGTTGGTCTCCAAGGATCCTCCCACCTGTTTCGTGAGTAGCTGAGACTACAGGTGTAGACTACTGCACCTGGAAAATGGAGTTCTAAAAAAAACGGCTGTTTTTATTTCTTACTAAGCCTACAAAAGTGACATGCCAACTTCTATTACATGCTGACTAATCAGAACGGTGCATGCATTCAACTTTAGAGGTCATTAGTAATAGTGCCATGACTCTCTTGGTTAGTGACACTGCAAATATAGCCCAGAGTTCATTAAATGAGCAGGCATGAAGTTATCATTTTCACCAGGCCTGTATAAAGGGCCTTATTAAAACAATCTCCCTATTTTCTTATCCTATAACAAATAAGAAAAATAAAGGTAAAGTTACCTACCCACTGATAAGCTTTCTATATACAATAAAAGTTTTGCAATGAATAAAACCCAAAGCAGAATTTAGTATACAACTATTTATACTTGGTTTTTGGTTTGTTGCTGAATTTTGCAAATTATGTGGAAAAAAAACTGACATATTCACCTCTAAAATAAAAGACCACAAATTAAACTGTGCCCACATATGTATTTGCAGCTCCCTGAAATGTCTCATAGCATATAGTTCTATCAAAACATTTTGAGTGATAAAGAGGCAGAACATTCTAGGAAAAAAGATTTAAAAAAACAAACAAGGCGGCTTAGGGCAGAAACATCTGTTGTAAATATTGCTAATTCTTCTTCTCCTTTCTGCTGAAAAGCATACAGAAAATAAGACCCCCTGTTCCCATTCCAAAGTAGGGTAGAAGACAGAGAGCTTTTTAAAAGCTGGCAGTTAAGTAGGAAAAATAATGCTTGACTTGGATAAAGTAGAGCTTAACAGGAACCTCCTCTTACTACCTTCAATGACCCATTCTGGCAAACAGCCTTGACCTTACCAATCTTTAAGGGGAAAACACAAGAAAAACCTCTGGAGGAGAAAGAATAGAACATGCTGTAAGTAATGCACTATTTTCACTGCTTCACTCTCCATCACCATCCATTTTAGCAATGCTTACCCTTAACCTGTATATTCACTCATCACAGCAGGCTAATTCTGAAAACATTTTACTTTCCTGGGTATGGTACTGCTACTACAATACTTAAATATCTGCAAAAATAATTTTATATTCTTTTTCTATGTAAATAACTTTAAACACTTCATTTCAGCAATATTACAAGCTTGTTGGTTAGTCTATGAAACTACTGTGAGCACTGATAACACTGGATCCATTAGTTCTGATCCAAGATCCATCTCTGGGTCCAAAGGGGTAATCTAGGTTCATTTCTTTTTTTTCCCCCCTCTGGGCCTGTTTCTTCATTCTTTTTTTTTTTTTTGGTCGGTTATGGGGCTTGAACTCTGGACTTGGCTGCTGTCCCTGTGCTCTTCAGCTCAATATGACCACTCTACCGCTTGAGCCACAGCACCACTTCCTGTTTTCAAGTGGTTTATTGGAGATAGAGTCTCACAGACTTTCCTGCCCGGGCTGGCTCTGAATCGTGATCTTCAGATCTCAGCCTCCTGAGTAGCTAGGATTACAGGCATGAGCCACCAGCGCCTGGCTTGTTTCTTCATTTTTGTAAGGAGGATATAGAGTGCCTGTAAGAAACACACTGCCATCTCCTTTAGAAATGTTATGCTGATGTTCTGAATGTTTAACTATAGTATCTTGTTTCTGAAGACTAGCGTTTTTGTTTAAGAATCCTGATCCTTGTGCTTGGCATAAGAGCTAGGTAAATCTAGATTGAGATGAGGGGGAAATAGACAAAAGATTTTAAAATGTGGAAGAATCTGATCAAATTCAGGAAAGTTGTCAAAAATCATAACGACTCTATCTCCAGGATTTCCATAGACGAACTGTGGTCCTAGTCATTTGTCCACACACTAGTCAAAGCATTTACATGGCTCTCAAATACCAGGCTGTTTTAAAAGTGAAGGCTATATCTAATGCATCTTCAAATTTCCTTCAACCTTTGCTGTAATACATGCATGAGAGAATATGTGCAAGAGAGAATCGTCCCAAACACTGTCTTCTAATAAAACAAGATAGAAGATGCACTCTCTGATAAATCTTCCAAACAAACGCATCTAAGCCTTGTTCTGCCCCTCCCCCTCTCCGAGTGCACTGGCGGAGCAACCCTGGTGGGTATGTTACAGAAAAGAATGTTTCAGATTTATGTTTATACCTTGTGGGAGAGTTCACAAAAATAAGGCAAACAGTTCAAAAAGGAGGAGGAAAAGGAAGAATGGAATAATTTCCAAGTGCTCTAATTTAAAAAACAACAACAAAACTGTGGTTGGGGTAGTGGTGAGGAGAGGACTGTAAGAGTAAAATTTTGGGCAAGGGAGTACTATCTTTAAAAATACTTTCAAACGACCAATAGGTAGATGTTGAGCCCTATGCACTGCGCAAATGGAAGGGGTTAAACTTTTAGAAATGATTGTAAACAGAAGAGCACCTAAAATTTTAGAGTGCGGGTTTGAGATACTCAGGATACATATGGGGGAGGGGGGGACGGAAAGGGTTGGAGGAAAATGTAGGGAAGGGAAGAAATGAAGATAGAACGCCAGTAAAGAGTCAGTCCTAAGGAGAATCGGAGCGCAGGGAGGGTGCCAGGGGAAGGATAGTAGTAGAAGGTGGGGGAGGGGACGACCAGAAACTCAGTCCACAGTGACCAAGCCGGAACCGAGCGAGGGCGCGACCCTGTTCCCTGGCACGCTGCAGAGGTGTGCGGAGCCCACCCTGGCCCTTCAAAGCCCTTCGTACCTGTTGGTGTGGAAGCGATGGAGCGGATCGGTGCGGTGGCAGGAGGACAGCTGGCACCCGAAGTCGCTGATGTCCAGACAACCTGGCTCCTCGCTGGGGCAGGCGCCCACGCCACGAGGGGGTCCCAGGAGCGGGAAGGGTTCCTCAGGGGTGAGAAACTTCTCATAGGAAGTAGTGGCCGACGCCTCGTCGGACATGGTTGAAGACAGCCGGGTTTGAGCTCCCTCTCTGGCTTTGGGCTGTTCGCGCGCCTGCCCCTGCCCCCACTCTTAACCTATCCGCGGTCGCCGCTCCCGAGGGCACCCGCGTCAGCTCACAGGCAGGCCGAGCCCGGTAGCTCGCGGCTACGGGAGGTATGAGTGGCCGTACCGAAGCTACCCGAGACTAAAACAGCCGGCAGACACCCAGTCAGCACCTCAGTGGCCTCCGCAGCCGCCGCCGTCGTCGCCACCGCCGCGCACCAGCCAAGCCCACGAGCTCAGCGCCGCCGCCCGGCCTGGACCCCGCCCACTGCTCTCGCCACTCGCTGCAGCCCGCCTGACGTCGATCAGGAGGGGAAGGACAGTAGGAACCGCTCCCCTCGCCCCCTGCTGGAGCGGAGGAGGAACTGAACCTTCGCTGCTGCAGACCCGCATGACTCGGCCCTTCTGGCCTCAGTTTAGCCCCGCCTTCTAACCCCCTTGAATCGAGGATTTGACTCTAGGAAGGCCAAGGCCTCTCCCAAACTTGTTCCTGTTTTTCCACTACCGCTGGATGACTAAATAGCAAACGGCAGCCCCTTAGAAAAGGGCTTTGCCAGACTTATACGGCAGGTGCGTGAGAAAAGCGTCCACATGCCCTGTTCCCATCACTCTCTGCCAGTTCAACAAGTATTTATTGAGTTCCAGTAGTCTGTGTGCCCAGAACTGTGCAATGAGCAAAAGGAGAAAGCGGTCGAGTAGAAAAAAAATCCCTACTTTGCTCTCTGGTGCCTCAAGGCAAGAACCCTACACTTCAGCCACCCAGCTACTCAGAACTGTGGGACATATACAGCTCTTTTCTACTTGATGTCTTGACATGAATTATGCACTCTGCTTGGAATTCCTGGCCAGTTCTCCCCCTCTTATCCTTAAAGCCTCATTCCAAATGCTTCCTCCTCTGGGAAGCCTTCCCCAACTCCCAAAAAAGCTTACACACACCAGATATGACTCACCACCACCACTGAAACTACATTATGGAACTTAAGTTGTTCAACTTACTAGGTGTCACATACTGTTCTTTCCTCCTACCACTTCTCTTTTCTGTATTCTAGGCAAACACCTCCAGATTTTCAATGTATAACTTTTAAATATATATATTCACAGGAAAACCCAACAATGCCAAATTCTTTACCAAATGAATACAATTTAACAACCCACTACTATTTTATAAAAACGAAGCATATATTTTCATATAAAATGAAAAGAATAGCTTGATAAAAAATTCCTTGCATGAAATTCATTTAGCTTTATGGAAAACCTCTTTACATTGATCTAAAGGGAAGCAGAGAACTAAAACAGAGACATGTGGGAGTGAAAGAACTCAGGAGTAAGGGGAGGAAACCGGCAGTAAACAAGCACCCTGCACTCGCAAGGTTGTTCCACAACCTAGTCTGCTGGACACTGTGCCCTACCAATATAACACACAATAAAACAACTCCTCAGGGTTGGAAAGATGGCTCAGTGGTAGAGAGCTTGCCTTGCATGCCTGAGGCCCTGGGTTCGATTCCTCAGCACCACATAAGCAAAAAGAAAAAAGCCACAAGTGGCGCTGTGGCTCAAGTGGTAGAGCGCTAGCCTTGAGCTGAAGAGCTGAGGGACAGCGCCCAGGCCCAGAGTTCAGGTCCCACGACCAGACCCCCCAAACAACAACAACAACAACTCAGACTCTCCTTAAAATTTTATATATACTAGTTCCTGAGATTAATGGATTAGTTCCAGGACCCCAAAACCCAAGAAAAATCATGAATGCTCTAAGTCTCTTATATAAAATGGCACAGTATTTTCCTTAAAATTTTATGTACAGTCATCCCTGAGAGAAATGGTTGCTACCAAGACCCCCAAACACAAGGCAATCCATGAATGCTCCAAGTGTCAAATAAAATGGCACAGCATTTGCATAATAGATACACACATCTCATATACTTTATATCAGCTCCTACATTCCTTCAGTGACTGTTACAATATAAATGCCATGAAAATAGATATTAATCTCCATCCTTTGGGGACATAAGAAGAAAAAAAATCTGTCTATATAAGATGCTTTTTCCCCTCAAATACTTCTTCTTTTTCCCCTCAAAGACTTCTTCTTTTTTGTTTTTGTTTTGTTGGTCATGGGGCCTGAACTCTGGGCCTGGGTGCTAGCAGTCCCTCAGCTCTTCAACTCAAGGCTAGCGCTCTACCACTTGAGTCACAGTGCCACTTCTGACTTTTTCTGCTTATGTGATGCTGAGGAATCTAACCAAGGGCCTCTGCATGCAAGGCAAAGTGCTCTACCACTGAGCCCACCTTCCCAGCTCCTCAAATACTTCTTTTTTTTTTTTTTGGTCCGGTCGTGGGGCCTGAACTCTGGGCCTGGGCGCTGTCCCTCAGCTCTTCAGCTCAAGGCTAGTGCTCTACCACTTGAGCCACAGTGCCACTTCCGGCTTTTTTCTTTTTGCTTATGTGGTGCTGAGGAATCGAATCCAGGGCCTCAGGCATGCAAGGCAAGCGCTCTACCAGTGAGCCACCTTCCCAGCCCCCTCAAATACTTCTTAATCATAGTGATTGAATATGAATAAAAGAAACCTGCGGCTAAGGAGTGTTGGCCGACTTGCTTCAGTTTTTTAGTTACCTGATGGGCATGACCATTTCCTTTCATTTTGATTGCAACAAGATAGAGAGCACTGGAAATGAGTCTTTGAAAAACAATCATGAATATCTAATTGAGAATGACCAACTTAAAAATTATAGAAGGAGCCAGGTGCTGGTGGCTCATGCCTGTAATCCTAGCTACTCAGGAGGCTGAGATATAAGGATCACAATTCAAAGCTAGTCAGGGCAGAAAAGTCCCTGTGACACTCATCACCAACTAACCACTCAAACACCAGAAGTGCTCCGGTGCTGGTAGTTTGCTCCTGTAATCCTAGCTACACAAGAGGCTGAGATTTGAGGATCTCCGTTCAAAGACACCCCAGGGCAGAAAACTCCCAGTGACACACTTATCTCCAATTAACCACTCAAAAACCGGAAGTGATGTTAAGCTCAAAGTGGTAGAATGCCAGACCTGAGCAATAGAGATCAGAAACTACACCCGGGTCCTGAGTTCAAGCCCCATGGCCTACAAAAGAAACCCCAAGTAAACAGAAGTGGAGCTGTGGCTCACAGTGGGTAGAGCATTAAGCCTTGAGCAAAAGAGGTCAGGCAGAGCACCCAGGCCCTGAGTACTAGCCCCACAAACAGACAAAAACTTTACAGAATTAAAAAATGGTTATGGTATGACCTCCAAATACATAAATGCCAGGATCCTGGAGCTACTGAGGACCAATGGACCTTGGCTTACTCTAGAAACAAGAAACTGGATTGTTCAAAGAAACAAGAGTCAAGTGCTGAATGACAATGTTAGTGTCTCAGGTTATAGCACCAGAATCTGGTAGTCACAAACTAACAATACAACTTATTTTAAATATACATGCATTTTACACTTTCTCTAAGAAGTAGGTATTTTTCAAACTAGATAAAATCATTTAAGAGTTTTCTACAGGAATAGTTTTGCATTTAATTGCAATTATATTCTAGATTATGTGGATGATCACATGATAACTAGCTCCTGCCACATAATTAGAACGTTTGAGTATCATTTCAAATCAGCACAATGTAATATTACTTTAATTGTCCTGCGTTAGTGAGCAAACAAATGAGGTGAGCCCCATACTTCATGGCTTGCTATATAAATGTTGATCCAGTACAGTTCTCACAATTTCTCAGGACCTGAGATAACTCCTGGCCTAAAACAAGCCAAATTCAAATGAATATCAAGGTTGTGCCTAAGCAAACATTTGAAATAGTAACTGAAAGGACTGATAGCCCTGCTACAATTTCCACAGCCCTGGAAAAAGCACCATCAAAACTCAGATAAATACAAAGATCATGGAGAACTAGGACACTGAGAAATCTCTAGGTACCTCCCATACTGCACACAATCTCTGACATTTTATATTACTAAGATGTTTTCACACAATCTACCAGGGGAAAGACTGACCAACGCTTTTGTTCTAACACTCCCTCCCATACAGTCAGCAGTACTGTAACATCAATTGAACATAACTTAATCAATTCCCTTTTTTTTATTATGAAAATACCATACAGAGGGGTTACAATTACATGGGCAAGATAATGAGTACATTTCTTATCAAGCATTGTTGTCTCCTCAACTCCCTTTGTTTATAAGACAAAGTAATAAGTCTTTGTCCAAAGGCCTCTGAAAAATTTAAAGATGGTTTTTAGTTGCAAAAGGTATCTTGCAAGTTCTTTTATTTCATTTTAGATTTAGGATTCAATTTTTGGAAGGAAAAGGTAACTGGGACATTTATATATGAAAATAGGATAGTTGGCTGCTCATATGAAAGTATATTAAAAATTTTATAATAAACATAGAAAATTGTATGGTTATTAAGAACCATAGCTCTGTGGCTCACTGATAGAGCACTTGCCTGATATGAGTAAGGCCCTGGGTTAGAGCCCCAGTACCACCAAAATAATAGCTCATAAATGAGATAGTGTTTCTTACCCTGGCACCAGGACCTCATGCCTATACTTCTAACTATACAGGAGGCTGAGATCTGAGGATCTCAGTTTGAAGCCAGCCCAGGCAAGAAAGGCTGTGTGACTGATATTTCTAATTTACTACCAAAAAGCCAGAAGTAGAACTGTGGCTCAAGTGGTTGAGTCCTAGCCTTGAGTGAAACAAGCTTAAGAATAGGGCCCAGGCCAGTACAAAGAAAAGAGAGAGAGAGACAGAGAGAGTCAGAGAGAGGGGAAAGTTTTCTTAAATAATCAAGGACACAATAAAATTAATATAAAGTATAGAAAATTGCGCAGGTAAAAGATGGAATCACTTCTATTCAGATTACACAGAATAAGCCTTCATTAATGTACATTAAATAAACAGTAAATATGTAGATATATAAAATGAATGCAGCACACTCCAAATCTCCTAGTTCAGGTAAGGAGGCAGATATGTTGGGGAAAAAATGTGGCAGAGATTGCTAGTTGTCCAACACATAGCCATTCTCCCTGTTCTTTTATAATGACAGAAGCTTGATTAGGCTACAAGTGGACATGTACCCAAACAGAAGAAAAGCACCTTATCCCAGCATTCTTTTCAAATGGGTTTGTACATAGATCTAAATGTGGGTAAGCTGGAAAAATGATTTAGTTAATGTTGGAGAAAATAAATGAATGAGATGCCAGATATTTTGAAATTTTGATCCTTTCATGTAAATATATTTTTA